ATGATCAAATATAGAGCAAAATAAGTAATAATAATAATTACTATTATTGTTAGTAAAATGCTTAATAAACAAATATTAATAAACATTCATTATAAACTATTATTACTAATATTAAAAATAATTTTAAAAATATATTAAAGTAATAACAACAATAATAATAACAACAACAACAACTGTTGTTGCAAATTATTTGTATAATACATTTTATAATTATTTTGTATTAACAATTACTCTTATTGTTATTGTAATAGCAAGTATTATAAAAAATAATTTCTCCTCTTAATAAAATAATTATAAACATTTATTATAAAAAGTAATAAATCTTAAAAATAATAATAATAATAAAAATAATAATAATAATAATTATTATTAAATTATAGATTATTATTATTATTATTAAACATTATAGATTACATTATTATAATTTTAATATTTATATGATATATTATAGAATTATTATATCAATATAATTAATATTGATATTATATATAATTATTAATGTTGAATTATCCATAGCGCATGGTAGTCTGAGGAGATAGACACATGGCTAGGGATTATGGGTATGAACTGAATGTTTACAGTGGTCACACTTCTACTGTCTCACAGTTTAACTCTACATAAACATCAACTGTCTGATGCACCATCTGTCTTTCTCCTAAAGAGCCAGAAGTCCACTTCATCTTCTGTTCTGACGGCCCACATGAGCTGCCATTAGATTCTTTCACTGTGACCTCATGGTGCTGGACAGACACTAAAGTGTATCTTTATCGCGTTATTAAATTCTCACCCATCTATTTAGATCCCCTGGAGGGTCCGAGCAGGATTGTATGTCAAATGTGAGGAGAGGATATGATAACGTTGGGTGGAGCAGAGAGAGGACAAAATGACTAAGAAGCCATCTCCTTTTTGCTCCAGCTCCTGCACAAACAAATTCAGTTGCTTTTTCAGTCGATGCTATCAATAAACGTTGGGAATCTGATGGTGTTCCAGGGCTGTGGCTTGTGTTGAGCATTGCCTTTTTTACCACATTGCAGAATTCAGACAGAAGGGAGGGATGTCTTGCACTTGACTCACATATTTGAACAAGAGCCTCCACCACCCTCACAGCCTCCCATTTCCGGCGAATGCGGTTGGGCAGGATTAGGCTAAAGCGTGTGTGCCTTTCTGCCAGAATGACTCTTACATGAGCCACTGTTTGTGCAGTGCATGCTGATTTTAAATAGTTACCCAGGTTATGTCTTTCTGAAAATGTCACATTAGGTGCCAGTTACGGTTGAATGACACAAAGTGATGGCAACTTATACCTCACTAACAATATAAAAAACAAGAAAAAATGCAATTACAATGGAAGCTAATGGGGCAAGTACACAATGAATGTCATCACATTTTGTTCATTTGTAAATCGAGGTATGGTTCAAAAGTAACCTTTTCTTAACCATGTAAAAAAAAAAAACTGACTGGAGGGAATTGGTTTTATACTGGATTATAAGTGGTTATTTAATAAGATGCAGGGTTTTGTGAACTATTTATAAAAACCTCTTAGCAAGAATGACCAGGCAGCAAAAGGCATAGAAACACACAACACAACTTGTATCTAACCTAGACTATTCCTTTAAGAAGCCTGAATCAGGTCCTAAAAAGACTAGTCTCACTCTCTAATTTGCGTGTTGTCTGGTTTCTGAACAGCAAGCCACAGAGAAGTGGGAGCTGTAGTCAGGGCCAGAGGAATGCTAGAAGGGGATTTTTCATTTGGTGAGCTCACTGCTCTCCTGTAAAAGCTTTGCTTTACAACAAAGACAGACGTAGTAATGGCAAGAATCATCAACATGCTTTATAAGGAGTGATCCATTCTTTTAATATAAGAATAATGTGCATCCAGCACAGCACAGACATGTGTTTTTGTTTTTACAGCAATGCATCATTTTCTTTATCAGTTTTCTGTCATGTTTTGCAGTAAAACGTCCTTAAAACAAGATGCATCCTAACACGATTTACAACATTACACTTCTACAGTAAGTAAAACGCCCCTTCCAGTCCCAAAAACCTCAACTTTCAACCTTTCAACGTAATTTGACCACAAACCCAGATCCCAGAGTCATCGACTCTAATGTCACGGCACAGGGTTTTGGCATTTCATCCAGGCGTGAACAAGCCTGGCTTAGAGCACTTAAAAGTAATGTTTCTGTGTGCTCCACATTTCTTACTTTTTTAAAAGCTGACTGGATAGAAATATGAAAAACGGTTTATTGCTAACAGTCACTTAGACCTGATAGATCATTAAAAATATCTGCGGTGAGCGCTGATTACTCAGCCATTTCCCCCCCCCGGTGAATGTGTAAGCGTGAGTCAGAGCACCCAGCCTTTGTGTCTCCATGTGAAACCTCTTCCTCTCGGTGGCCTCCTGTTGTGTTTTCCGGGGTTGACAGGCAGATGAGTGGCCCCAGGGACAATGAGATGATGTAGGCTTATATGGGTCTGGCCCATCATCAATGAAATCGGATCAAACACTCACCACAATATATGGCATCAGGCAAATGTTACGCTGATGACCTTGTACGTTCTGTGAGTCAACAGACAATATAATTGAGTGAATCTAAAACACAACTGAATCACAGCTATGAACAATTAAGCTGCAGTTGACTATGCAAATAGAAAATAAACATGGTTCGAGCGGCAATACTGACACTGACTCCATTACTAGATAAATGTTGAGGCTCCGTCCTTTCTAAATCTGGATCCGCAGTTATTATCCGCACATCATAAAAGCTCTAAACATAGACCTGTGAATGTGCCATGGTTTATATTCAGATATTGGACCCGTGTGTGTTATCCGACAGCTTGACCCACAAAAATATCTACTTGTGTCAGTGACTGTCTTTCCAAGGTCTAATTCATGTTCTACACAAATCTAAGCCTGTTTCCGCCATGGAATAAAAAGAAAAAGGTAATTGCAATTTTTTATTTCACAATTCTGAAATTTTTTTCTAACAATTCTGAGGGGGAAAAAAAGTCAGAATTGCGAGATATAAATTTAGAATTCTGATTATTTTTCCCTTACAATTTCAAGTTTACATCTCAGAATTTTGGATTTTTACCTTACAATTTAGTCTCTTTTTTCCCCCTCAGAATTACCCTCAGTTTATATCTCGCAATTCTTTCTTTTTCTGCCAAAGAATACAAAATAAAGAAGTTAATTGTATTTTTTTAATCTCACAATTCTGACTTTTTATCTCAGAAATGCAAGTTTACATCTCTCAATTCAGATTTTTTTTTTCTTGCAATTCTGAGGGGAAAAAAGTACAAATTGATATAAGCTCAAGATATAAACTCACATTTCTGTGATAAAAAGTCTTTTTTTTATTTTTTTAGATAAATTATTTTTTTTATCCCGTGGCAAAAACAGGCTTCAATACAAATCTGAAGACGTAAGCGTTCACAAAACATTTAGTTTACATCATATAATATGTTAAACAGGACTTAAACAGGATATTAAATGAGAAAAAAATACAGAAACACAGGATACAGGATGGAAATCAATTAGACTATAAGACCAAGAATGTGCATTAAAAAGTAAATAGGGTCAGTTTGATTTCAGTATCAGTATATATGAACAAAAACTACGGAAACATTAGGGGCAGTTTCCAGAGCACCTGCAAAAGGAGGGGCTTGTTGTAAAACCAATATTCCCCTACTAATAAAGCTGTACTGAAAGCAGGAACAAGTACATGGAACAGAAAACAAAGACAGACTTTTATAGCTAGTCATTATAGCTGGTGATTAAACACTGTGCAGGTGGATCTGTGGGCATAAATCACACATCTGCTGAGGTTAATGTTGAGTCTCTCTTACTCTCTGGCTCATAAAGAAACCCAATAGAGATTAAAGGAATGAGTCTGTTCCCTGGTAACATTACGGGTCATTCCCCTGCATTCCTTGTGTAGGCTGGACTGATATTATGGGATGGTGACAGAAACTAAGAAGAGGCTTTTGTTTGATTCTGCTTCTCATGCAAACTGGCCTGTAACAAGAAAACTAGGTGGATCCTGTGTATATGCCCTTCCTTGATATTGTACTATGAAATGTTCTGAAACATTCTCCGGAATAATTGATTCTGCCTGGTCAATTGACACAATCTGCAGTCAAAAGAGTTCTCAGTGTCAGTTAGGGATGCCACAATTCTCAATATAATATTGAACCGTTCGGTACAACATCTATGGTTCAATATGCGATTGTGAACCGAGGTTTTTCAGTTTTGCATTTAAATACTTTCCGTGTGTATTCTTTCTCTCTGAATTGGCTCTGTTTGTGTGTCCGTGAGTCTCCTCGCTTATCAAAAACAACACACATCAAACATCCTCCCTTGTAATGACTTGTAATGAGAAGCGTTTCTAAACCTGCTGTCCAACAAAAGAGAACATTGTAATATGTTTTTACTCCACAACACCAGTTGAATGTTTGAAAAAACTTCCTTTTGTGATCTGATGTGGATTCTTATCACAGAATGAGGCAGAAAATATACTGTAATAAAGGCTATGTCGATTAGCAATGAATTATAAATATAATTAACTGTTATGAAAATACCTGGGATGGCTTGAAGAACACAGATAAACTATAAACTAAACTATCACAGATACACAGATAAACTAAAAATCTCTCTTATTTTGTAATAGTAATCATTATTATTATTATTTATAATTATTATTTTATAATTAAATATGTTTTATAATACGTTTATACTTATTTTATTTATTTATGTGTTTATTGATTTATTTATTATTAAAAATAAGTATAAATATGTATTATACAGTTTCATGTTTGGCGAAAATAATAAAAAATAGGGTTTTATGATTATGGCCAGAACATTTTTCAGTGTGAAAACAGTGTGTGTGACTGAATTTGTAGTTTAATGTGTGTATGAGTGAATCTTTGTTGGTTTACCTGTCTCACCTGTGTGTGTGTGTGTGTGCGTGTGTGTGTGTGTGTGTGTGTGTGTGTTTCAGCACCACCAGCTCCACGGCCAGCAGCTGTGACACTGATTTCTCCAAAGATGACGAGCAGCGTCTGAAGGACTACGTGCAGCAGCTGAAGAACGACCGGGCGGCTGTCAAGCTGACCATGCTGGAGCTGGAGAGCGTCCACATCGACCCGCTGAGCTACGACGTCAAACCCCGCGGAGACTCGCAGAGACTCGACCTGGAGAACGCCGTGCTCATGCAGGAGCTCATGGCCATGAAGGTACAGTACGACGCGCTTCATCAGATGAACCAGAATAATCGACCTCATGCTGATCTAATAATAATAATAATAATAATAAATCAAACTACTCTCATAACAAATGTCTTGATTAGGAATACTTAGTTCATGATTCAAGTCTGATGTTATTTGAGGGAAAAGGCTCACCAAGCCTGCATTTATTTGATCAAAAATACAGTAAATATTGTTAAATATTATTAAGATTTAAAATGGCTGTTTCCTATTTTAATATACTGTAAAATTGTAATGTATTTCTGTGATCAAAGCTGTATTTTCAGCATCATTACTCCAGTCTTCAGTGTCACATGATCTTCAGAAATCATTCTAATATGCTGATTTACTGCTCAAGAAACATTTCTGATTATTATCAAAAACCATTAAAAAAACATTTTATTACTTATAACATTACATTAACTTAAATTAAATATTTTATAAAATAAAATAAAACATAAACATTAACTGAAATAAAAATAAAATATTATATTTATAAGATAGAATAAAATAAAATTGATTTCAGCTAGTTGCCAAGGCAACATTTCAAATTTTTCTCATTTAGTTTAAAAGCACTAAAATAACTAAAACTAAAGCAAAAAATTTAAACTTAACAAAAAATTATAGACATATAAAAATGACAAAAACAAATTTGAATAAAACAATTAATAAAATAATTTTAATAAAATTTACATAATAAAACAAAAAATTATAGACATAAAAAAAGAATAAAAATGACAAAAACACATTTGAATAAAACAATTAATAAAATAATTTAAATAAAATTAACATCATAAAACTTCAAAATTAAACCGAAAACAGAAAATATAAATAAAAAAATCTAATTGAAATTAAAAAATTAAAACAAAAAAATTTACAAGAACTATAGTAGCCTATCAACTATACTAAAATAACACTGTTTTGAAAGCTGTTGTGCTGCTTCATATTTTTGTGGAAATATTTAGTGATACATTTTATTTTTCAGGATTCACAGATGAATCGAAAGTTCAATCATTCCTTTTAAAAAAATAATACAATTATTGTGATCCCAAACTTTTGAACAGTAATTTAAAATATACATATCAGTATTTTATAATCCATCTGCCATTGACAAACACACATAATGCATCTACTGATAGTGTCGAACATTATAATGAAGCAAAAGCTGTACATTTGTTGGATGAATGACTGAAGGTTGAGTTTATTACTGTCAGATTAAATCTGTAAAATGAAGCGGCGGTTTAGTTTGGCGATGTGTTTATAGATTAGTCTTTCACAGAAGCTACAGCAGATTTCTCCATGTTTGACTCTCTCAGTTCAGTCTGCTGTCGTTCTTCATCAGCGCACTGTTTCCTCTTGCTTGATCCGTCAGTGACCTTCAGCTTCGGCACTCGGAGCAGCGGCGCGTGTTTGAAATGTGAGATCCGATCGGACGCAAGGAGAGATGATTTAGATATGAACAGCTCCGTCAGCTGACATTTCTACAGAAACACTGACTCCAGATCAGTGTGAAAGACTCGCCCTTCAGAGATTCACTGTATGATTCACATCTAATAGGATGTGGCAGAAACGTTGGGTCTGAAAATATAAATGCAGTTGCAATATGTGTATGTTTGGGATTCCCAAATGTTTTTTGTCAGCCGAAACTCTTTGAGCTAAAATATTTTCTTGAAGTTAATATTTCAAGTATTTATCAACACATTCACATGTTCACGGTTCTCTGATCATGTGGCATGCAGGTAAACAAATAAAATATTTAATATTTTTTAGTAATTATTTTATTTTTATTTTTTAATTATTTTCATTTTAATTGATTTCAAATAAAATATTTTGTCTTTTTTAGTCAGTATTTTATTATTATTTTAAAATAATAAAAGTAATTATTTAAAAATAACGTATTTAATTTTATTAATGTTTTTCATGTTTTCATAATATTTCATATTTTTAGTTTATTTTTATTTGAAAATTATTGAATCTTTTAAATAAAATATTTTTTTATTGTTTTTTTTTATTGTTTTTTTATATATTGTTCACATTTTTCATAATATTTTATATATTAGTAAGTGTTTTATTTTAATTTTTTATTTTAAAAATATTTGTTTTAATTTATTTCAATGAAAATATTTCATTGTTTTATTTTTTTTTATTTAAAATAATTTAATTGAATGTTATTTCAGAAATATTTAATATTATTCACATTTTGCATATTGCTTTCATATTCCTCTTAATATTTCATAATTAATTCATCTTAATCAACACCCATTTGGGAAACCCTGGTATATGCAATAGAGTTTTTCTTGTGCTTATATAGATCATAAGTCAATATAATTGGATAAGAATGCACTAAACCCCTCGTGTACCGTCCAGGCGGTTCTTCATTGCATCAAACACACGATCTGACCGCGTCAGGGTTTGATGAGTGTGTGTTTGTGAACCGTATCTGCGTCGTGAGATGCTTTCAGCGGTGATGTGACATGTCAGGAGAGGAGCAGTAGGTCACAGATGTGTGTGTGTGTGTGTGTTCAGGAGGAGATGGCGGAGCTGAAGGCTCAGCTGTATCTGCTGGAGAAGGAGAAGAAAGCTCTGGAGCTGAAGCTGAGCACGCGGGAGGCTCAGGAACAGGCCTATCTGGTGCACATCGAGCATCTGAAGTCTGAGGTGGAGGAACATCAGGAACAGAGGCGGCGATCGCTCAACTCCACCGGCAGCAGCGCTGGAGCCAAAGACAAGAGCGGGAAGGTACAGTCCATGCAATACAACATACAGCAACATACTGCCAGGTGTCTGTTCACATATCCATATGCACATCTGTGGATATATCATTAAAAACCTAAATGGAAACGCCAAGATGCAAATACAGTTTCACACTTTTTTTTGTGGAAAATTTGAGGAAATATTGGTTAAAATCATTTGTGCACATCTCATTTGCTGGCGTTTAACATTTTTGCACAGACTACCATACAAAAATTATGAAATATTATGAACTATTAAATATTATTACAATTTAAAAGAACTGTTTTCTGTTTGATTATATTTTAAAATGTAATTTATTCCTGTGATGCAAAACAGTGTTATTTTACTATCATTGAGATACTGTTATAGTTTTTGTGCATATCTTGAATTAGATTTTATTTCATAATTAATTTTAGTCATAGTTTTAGTCATTTTATTTTGTTAGTTTTAGTCCTTTTAAATATGTCTGTATAGTTTTTATTTTTTATAGTTTTTCATTTTAGTTGTAGTTATTTTTGTAGTTTTTCACTGTAATTATTATTTTATTTCATTATTTTATTTTTTTTAAGTGTTTATTTATTTATTTATTTTAAATGTTTAATTTTGGTACTTCAACTTAAACTAAAAATTCAACCTAAATTGAAAATGAGAATTGTTGACTTGGCAACTAGCTGTAATGCAATAAGGTTTATTATTATTATTATTATTTTATTATTGTTATTATTATTTTATATACATGACCCCAAACTTTTGAACAGTACTGTATATCAACATTATTTTACCCTGGTCTCCAGATATCTGCACTGCCGTTAGCCATTGATGAATCTTTGTTAGTTGGCCACTAATTGTTAAATTATTAGAAAATTTGAAATTTGCATACAAATTTGTTGCTATTAAATAAATATTATACGATGAATAAATATATTTAAATAAATATATACAATGAATCGTGATATTTGGCTATGGGTTTAGTTGCTCTAATTATGATTGATGGATTGATAATCCTGAATCTAAAGAGTCTGTGGTTTTATAATCTATGAATGTGTCGTTGATGACGTTTATCAGCAGAGAGTCTCTTGTCTGTCTGTGAGATGTGAGTACCTGTCTGTCCGTCTGTCTGTCTGTCAGTCCATCCATCCATCTACATCTCTCTGTCTGATGTCTGCCCATCCGTCAATCTGTCTGTCTGTCCCTCTGTCTGTCTGTCTGATTGTCTGCTGTCTGTCTGTCAGTCCGTCCATCTGTCTGTCTGTCTGTCTGTCTGATTGTCTGCTGTCTGTCTGTCCATCTGCTGTCTGTCTGTCTGTCTGTCTGTCTGTTTGTCTGCTGTCTGTCTGTCAGTCTGTCCATCTGCTGTGTTTGTCTGCTGTCTGTCCATCTGCTGTCTGTCTGTCCCTCTGTCTGTCTGTCTGTCTGTCTGTCAGTCCGTCCGTCCATCTGCCCCTCTGTCTGTCTGATTGTCTGCTGTCTGTCTGTCCATCTGCTGTCTGTCTGTCCCTCTGTCTGTCTGTTTGTCTGTTTGTCTGCTGTCTGTCTGTTGTCTGTCTGTCTGTCAGTCCGTCCATCTGCTGTCTGTCTGTCTGATTGTCTGCTGTCAGTCTGTCCATCTGCTGTCTGTCTGACTGTCCCTCTGTCTGTCTGTCTGCCTGCCGTCTGTCTGTCAGTCTGTCCATCTGCTGTCTGTCTGATTGTCTGTCTGTTTGTCTGCTGTCTGTCCATCTGCTGTCTGTTTGTCTGCTGTCTGTCTGTCAGTCTGTCCATCTGCTGTCTGTCTGTTTGTCTGTCAGTCCGTCCATCTGCTGTCCATCTGCTGTCTGTCTGACTGTCCCTCTGTCTGTCTGTCAGTCTGCTGTCTGTCTGTCAGTCCGTCCATCTGCTGTCCATCTGCTGTCTGTCTGACTGTCCCTCTGTCTGTCTGTCAGTCTGCTGTCTGTCTGTCAGTCCGTCCATCTGCTGTCCATCTGCTGTCTGTCTGACTGTCCCTCTGTCTGTCTGTCAGTCTGCTGTCTGTCTGTCAGTCCGTCCATCTGCTGTCTGACTGTCCCTCTGTCTGGCCGTCCGTCCATCTGTCTGTATCTGTCTGTCTGTCTGTCTGTTCTTCCTTCCGTCCATTATCTGACTGTCTGATGTCTGTCCGTCTGCTGTCCGTCCATCTGTCTGTATCTGTTCGTCCATCTGCTGTCTGTCTGACTGTCCCTCTGTCTGTCTGTCTGTCTATCTGTCTGCTGTCTGTCAGTCTGTCAGTCCGTCCATCTGCTGTCTGACTGTCCCTCTGTCTGGTCGTCCGTCAATCTGTCTGTATCTGTCTGTCTGATGTATGTCTGTCTGTCTGTCCATCTGTCTGTATCTGTCTGTCTGTCTGTATCTGTCTGTCTGTCTGTCCGTCTGTCCATCTGCTATCTGACTGTCTGATGTCTGTCCATCTGCTGTCTGTCTGACTGTCCCTCTGTCTGTCTGTCGGCTGTCCGTCAGTCCGTCTGTTTGATCTGTCTGTCTGATGTCTGTCCGTCCGTCGGTCCATCCATCTGTATCTCTCTGTCTGATGTCTATCCGTCTGTCTGTCTGTCTGTCTGCTGTCCTTCTGTCTGTCTGTCCGTCCATCTGCTGTCTGACTTGTCCCTCTGTCTGTCTGTCTGTCTGTCTATCTGTCTGCTGTCTGTCTGTCAGTCCGTCCATTCATCTGTCTGTATCTGTCTGTCTGTCCGTCAGTCTGTCCCTCTGTCTGTCTGATGTCTGTCCGTCTGTCTGTCCATCCGTCCGTCCATCCATCTGTCTGTATCTGTCTGTCTGTCCATCCGTCTATCTGTCTGTCTGTCCGTCAGTCTGTCCCTCTGTCTGTCTGTGTATGTCTCCAGCAGCAGCTCGTGTGAATTATCGATGAGTATCTTCTCTCTCTCTCTGTTTCGATCGATTGCTCTGCTCTGTTCTTGTGTCTCTGCTGTGAAAGCGTCCCATCTGTGGGTGTGAGAGCGGGTTCGTCTGCTGTCGATCTCTCCTGTGCTGCGCAGGCGTCTGCGTTACACGCGATATTCTCTTACAGTCTCTGCAGATCCCAGAACGCCTCATCAAACCTGTGACCTTGGCATTGCTAGCGCAGCACTCTACTGTGCACATAATCCTCTTTATCTATAGGCACCAGATAAGATTCAGTTGTTTTTAATAAGAGTTTGTTATGATAGTTTCATTTACGTTTATGCATTTAAAAGACACTTTTATCCAAAGCTGCTTGCAATAGAGGAATGTAAGCAATCAGTTCATGCATTTCCTGGAATCGAACCCATGACCTTGGTGTTGCTAGCGCCATGATCTACTTTTTGAGCTTCAGGAATACAGTTACACTATCATTATTGGGTAAACATGTCTGCTTATCAAATAAATAAATGGACATGAAATATTGGTTCGTTACGTTAGAAGAATGAGAATGAAACTAGGACTTATTTCAGTGGTTCTCAGATGGCCTCAAGATCACTTAAAATGATTTAAAATACGTTAAAACAACTAAAAATCAAGACACTTTAAATTCACCCCCTCAACAACCTTTTTTTTGGTCTTTGAAGAACCAGGATTCTGACGGTCTCTGAAAACCTGAATATATTAGGAGGCCTTAATTTCTTTAATTTAAGGAAATATTTTGAATGAGCTTTTATTTTTATATTTTATTATTAATATAATTTCATAATTTTAATATTATTTATTATTTTACAACTTTATATTTTAATATTTATATTAATTTTAATTTTAAGTTCAAATAAATTTTAGTTTCAATTTTAGTAATTTAGTAATGTGTTTTTGTCATTTTGTCATGTTTCTATTTAGCTTTGATTTATTTTTATTTCAGTTTTAGTTTTAGTAATTTTTGTACTTCAACTTATTTTATTGCAGAGGCACCATTTTAATATTTATATTTTACTTGTTCAGCTTTATTTCAAAACAACAAAAATGATTTTTAAGAGTTTTAGTTTTAGTTAACAATAACAACACTGATAGTATATAGTGTAAATAGGCCTAGGTACTAATACTAGATAACAGCTTCATCTGGCACAGATCTCTGCTCTGTTCTGAGTGTCTGCAAACCATTCAGTGTTTTTTACAGCATGCTGTCATAAAAGACTCGTTGTAAATCTTTTTAATACCCATTGTAAATTAATGAAGAGCTCTGTTGAGTATCAATTCACAAACAACACTAACACATATGACCCCTATACAGTCTGTGTGTGTGTAGATGGCTTCACTGTCACACTAAACGTGCACATTCTCTCTGAGTCCCGTTTTAAAGCAGCATGCGGTGGGTATCTGCTGAATATTAACCCAATAGTGCTGAAGTAAAAGCGTTTAGCCTGGAGTGGCAGTCATTAAGCGCACAGTAGGGCATGTCTGCGGCTGTCTGAAAATAACTCACAACCCCCACTGAGATGATAGGAAACTGAGCCAGACATCGCCCCAAATCTAACCCTGCTCTCCCTCTAGCAAGGTGGGGTTTTCTTTACTAGTCAGATGGTGACTGCTGAAACTGTCTTCAAAACGGACACGCGTCGGCCCGTTAAAGAGAGAAAACTGAACTATTTTACGAATTGGTGATATCGAATGAATTCGTATGATTTGATTTAAAAAGAGAAACCATAATTGTTTTACAAATTGGTGATATTGAATAAATGCGTACAATTTAATTTAAATACAGAAAATGTAATTATTTACAAATTTGCGATATCGAATGAATTCGCAGTGTTTAATTTAAAGAGAGAAAATATCTGTATTTTTTAATGAATTGGCAATATTGAATGAATTTGTACGATTTTGTAGGGAAAAAAAGCATTACGTTTTCCAAAACGTAAAATAGTTACGAATTGCCGTGAGAGTTTGTTGACATACACTGAGAAACGTCGGTCTAGGATTTACTTTTAAACAATTTCATTTAGAAATTACTAATAACTTTCACAAATAATTACAACAGCAACAGCAAGTAACTCAATGAATTAAAAGTGAAATTTTGAAGTAGAAAGACTGAAATAATATTTTCTTGTAAAATGTACTCCAATAATTTTTGTTTTATTTACAAAATCATTTATTTATTTATTTATTTTTACATTTTGAATTCAAAATGGGTACTTTATATTTTTAAATAAACGTCCCTGGTCTTATTGTGCAATTCACTTTCATTATCCCCGGCAAAATCTGATAGCTGACTTTTCATTTTCATAACCAGGGCAAACTCGATTTTTTTCTCTTTCTGGGGTGTTATGGGTTTTGTTTGCTATTTTGTAGAGTGTTTTGCTTAACTCAGAAATACTTACACTTCATTACAAGTTGAATGCGCTGCTTCATGCTGTTTTTAAGGAAGCAGTGATAAATTGAATTTCATGTTGTTGGCTGCTGTGAACACGCTGAGTTTAGCATTGTTTTCACATCCTTCAGTGCTGATGTAAAACAAAGCAGAGTAAGTGGGTTTGATTTGCTGCTTTGAGCCAGCATGTGAATGAGTTAAACTTCAAGATATTGCCCTGTTTTTTCCAGTGTGTAACCACAAGAAACCTACTGTAAGAGACATTAGCGCTAGACCACCACAGCCTTTCAATTCTCAGTGGTCTTTGTGTTTCAGGAGAGCCTGTAATGTACATACCAGTCAGTAGCACCAAGTCTCTTTTTTTTAAGTTGGAGGAAGTTCACCACATGCTCTTTACCTCGGATGAGTGAGGCTGTAGTCGCATGGGGAATTACAACAGGGGGACAAGCACACACACACACCTGCCCCGGAGGCTCATCTCTGTGTTTTAGTCTTTTAAGTCCCTTTTAAATCCCTGTTGGAAAGATTCATTTAATGAGACTGGCAGAAATTGAGTGTTTTCTTCAGCATTCATTCCCTAATGAACACGAGACGTTTCCCATCTGTGCTAATGCACTTTTCCGAATCCCCTCACACGAACAGCCTGACCCATCTGAAACCCTCACACTTGTCCTTTGATCCACCTCTTACACCCGGCCAGCCGCTCCACGCTGAAGTTCCTCATCCGCCTGATAAGAGTGGTCATGACCCGAGAGGACTGTGGGCCGGGCAATCCCGAACTTGTGTGTGTGTTCAGATTAAGGAATGTGCTTGATTTAAATCAGCATAATCTTTCACCCTGTGAAGATTTGCATGTTTAAATATTGCCAGAGAATGCACACACTGGGATCCGAATAGTTGCACTTAGTTCTGGATGAAATATCTTTTAACTAGTCAATAGAAAGCTCCCCTTTTCGTTCACAGTCAATATCCCGCTCTTCTAATCACTAAGAATGGGACAACTGAAATTTCCTTGGCTGGCCTGTTGGACTGATGTTGTGATTGGCAGCTGAAGGTCTGGGGAAATATTAATATGTAAGGTATTGTGCTGCACTGTTTGCTGAGTAAATATGATATTTTGACCAATCAGTGACCACTTCTGGCCAGGTGTGTGATGAATGGGATAGTGAAATCATAGAGGAAGTCATGGGAACATGCTCTTGAGCAAATGAATTAGATCACTCTTCTGCTCCCATGCTGCAGTTTAATAACACAAAGAATGTGTTTCTTGCTTAAAAAAAAAGAAAGAAACAGACATTGGAATTTTTGTAGGCAATTTTTTATTTTTTCTTGCTTTTTTTTTTAAATAAATGTATTAAGTTTTTTTATTAAAATTTTTTAATTTATTAAATTTCTTTATTTAGTTTTTCATAAATATTTACCATCCAACTTGCTATAAATATTTTGTCGCAAAAAATCAAATAAAAAACACTTTTAAATATATAAATAAAAAAATTCACATGAGTTAATTGGATCGGACTTGAATTAAAGGTTTAAAGGAAAAAATATATATATTTTGTCATCATTTACTAACCCTCAAGTTGTTCCAAACCTCTATAAGTTTATTTCTTCTGTCGAGCAGATGAATATATATATATATTGAAGAGTGTTGGTAACCAAACAGTTGATGGTCCCCATTGACTTGCATAGTACAAAAAAAAAAATCAGTGGGGACCAGAAACTGTTTGGTTACCAACATTTTTGCCTGGTACAGTACGTGTTGAACGTGTGGACACATCCATCTTCCACATCCACCTTTTGTGTCTTTTTTTAAATTTCTTCTTGAGGTTTTTCCTTTCTGATTGTGTCACAGTTTAAATGGTCTCCAGTGACCTCAGGCTGTGTATGAACTCGGGCTCAGCGGTGGAGGATGGAGGACACGTCTGGCCTGTGCTCTTCATCCGCACCGTGCCTCTTCCTTCCTGCCCGTCTCTATCGGAGGAGTGGAGAGGTGTGGATTGAGTAGAAAAAATACAAAAAAGGTGTAGGCCACAGTCCCACAAATAGCTCAGTGGGCGCTTTACTAAAACATAATTTTAAAATATAATTAAAGGTAGTTAATGCCAACATTTCCTGTCTTTGAGTTTTTTTTTCTTAATCACACTTTAGTGAGTCTAAAACTAGGTCTACTACATCAGTTATATTTTGGAATTTACATCCAGTCTGGAATTGTAAGCCATGTGATGAGGAAAAAAAGTAGCATTAATGCTGCAATATTGAAGCTGTGGCCTAAGCATGTTTTTTGACACCTTACGCCTTGGTGCATATTTGGGCAATTCAAATTTGAATTCAGCTTGCAACATTTTCTGATGT